TTAAATTAAATAATTTAATATATATATATATATATATATATATATATATATATTTCCCGTCATCTCTATCTTGTGTATTAATCTAACTTTAACTTTAAACTTATGACAAATTGCTGATGTAAATTTGCAAGTTGATTTGGGTAGAAGTGTCTGCCAAATTAATAAATGTGAATATATATCTAACATGTTTTTTTTTTTTTTTACTGAATTCACCAGTTTATGTCAAATATGCTGCTGAATCATTTTTTAGAGTGAAAGAACCCATTTATACTGCGTAAATATTTAAATGAGACCTAAAAAGGGAACCGTTTTTCCAGATTATAATTGAGGGAACCAGAAAAAAAGAGAGAGAAATGCCACAAAAATAACATCTAAAAATTAATAAAGGCATATGGTAATATAGTATAGTATATAGCTCTACATTTGTGACCCAAACATGTGCTGCTTTTGCACTGTCTCATATTACACAATTTTATTACCAGTTACACTGAGTGGTTGATGTAGTGATTTTCAGTCACAATCTTTTGCTGGTTTTAACATATTTAATAAGTTTGACAAATCATAATCAACCTACAAAAATACATTTATTTGTCATTATACTGTACAATATTTTGGAAAAAAATGGTTAGAAATCTCCACCTTCATATCGTCACATACACCGACTGGTTCTCCAGCGGTTACAATACGTACAACGAAAGACGTACAACAGCATTGATAAGTATAGACGAAGCATAATGGCAGATACTTTGGGTTTGAGACTTTAGTCTTTGCAACTTTAGGGATCTTATCTATTCACGAACAACACTCCGAAGAGAAAGGAAAACTTGAAATCGCATCATATGACCCCTTTAATCTCTGTGTATTCATATAATGCCAGTGGATGGGTCTCTTAAATTTGACGTTTTAAAAACCATAAAGAAAGGAAACCAAGAAAGAAAGTAATCTGGGACAGCAACAGGGTGAGTAAATGATGAGATTAATTTTTTCGTTTTTGGTTGAAGTATCCCTTTAACCCAGCAATAGCTTACTAAATGGACTAATGGTAATGTGTCTCCTAATAGTGCTCTGCACAGGCAGCAGTGAAAGACAGTGAGAGGATTTTTACAGAGATGATCTGTCGCTCTGAGATGACACAATTAATAAGAGATCAAGAAAAGGGTGCAGTGAGTCGAGCTGAAGAATTCTTAAAGCATTTAGAGCAGAAGATTGCTGATCTGAGAATGAAAGAAACTGAGCTAGAGCAGCTTTCACATGCTGAGGACTTCTGCTTCCTACAGGTAACAAGTAGTCTTTAATAATATCTTGTATTTACTGAAGCTTTTGTTAATATTAAAATTGTAATGTCAGGAATTCTGTCAAGTGATGCCACATGATGTTGTTCTGTTATCATATCACTGATTGTCAACTGTGGCAAAGTAAGCACAGGGCATCAGGTATCAGGCGTTTAAAGTTTTTATAAATTTAATTTATATAATATAGCTGCAAGCAGCAATTAGTTAAAGCACTTTAAGACCTTTTAATAATTATAGACATTTTAAGATGATTTTACTCAAATTACTGAAAAATCATAAAATCACTAGTAATATTATTTAATGATTTATCACTTTTGACCAATAGGTGAGGTAAAGTAGAGGTAAAGTACTGGATGATATAGTCACTCTCAGAAATAGGTCAATATGCAAGTACAAAGCTGAAATTTCAAAGTTTATTTAACAAGACATTTGCTTGCTTCTCACACAATGTGTTTAATGTACAAATCAGGGTTTCATTTGCCAAAACCATCATAAGTCGTAGATCATAAAAACCATTGGTTAACAATTCCTTTGGAAAATACAGCCAAAATTTAATATTATAAAAATATTAAATTAAATAATTTAATATATATATATATATATATATATATATATATATATTTCCCGTCATCTCTATCTTGTGTATTAATCTAACTTTAACTTTAAACTTATGACAAATTGCTGATGTAAATTTGCAAGTTGATTTGGGTAGAAGTGTCTGCCAAATTAATAAATGTGAATATATATCTAACATGTTTTTTTTTTTTTTTACTGAATTCACCAGTTTATGTCAAATATGCTGCTGAATCATTTTTTAGAGTGAAAGAACCCATTTATACTGCGTAAATATTTAAATGAGACCTAAAAAGGGAACCGTTTTTCCAGATTATAATTGAGGGAACCAGAAAAAAAGAGAGAGAAATGCCACAAAAATAACATCTAAAAATTAATAAAGGCATATGGTAATATAGTATAGTATATAGCTCTACATTTGTGACCCAAACATGTGCTGCTTTTGCACTGTCTCATATTACACAATTTTATTACCAGTTACACTGAGTGGTTGATGTAGTGATTTTCAGTCACAATCTTTTGCTGGTTTTAACATATTTAATAAGTTTGACAAATCATAATCAACCTACAAAAATACATTTATTTGTCATTATACTGTACAATATTTTGGAAAAAAATGGTTAGAAATCTCCACCTTCATATCGTCACATACACCGACTGGTTCTCCAGCGGTTACAATACGTACAACGAAAGACGTACAACAGCATTGATAAGTATAGACGAAGCATAATGGCAGATATAACAATACAGAAATTCATAGATGCATGTTGCTTGTGTGAAGCAAATGGTTAAATTTACGAGAACAAACAATAAATTATAAGCTTTTATAAAGTGCACATGAGGCTACAGTCCTGTCTCTGGTGCACACTTCAATTGATACATCATTTTATACAGACACTAATACACAAACAATCAAAAACAGATATGTTGAGACCAGTCGTTAAGGAATAGCTCATAATTTCATGAATCATTTACTTCCCCTCATGTCTGTATAATTCATTTCTTGTGTGAAATACTAAAGAAGAGCCTCAGCAGAATGTTCATGTTGCTCTTTTCCATACAATAAAAGTGAATTTTCCTTTTTGGATGAACTATTCCTTCAAGTCAAATTTGAGTTAATCTATCAAATAAATATATTGCTACAATTAAGAGGCTCTGAGAATAACTACAATAGCGGGTATGCGAAGGCTTCAGGTAAAGAAATCTTTGGATATGGCCTCTACAAAATTGGGGGCAGACATTAAGATACCAATGGTGCAGAGTATGGTGAACAAAGAAAAGGCCATGAGACAAAGACGGTCAATGACAGATGCTGCAAACTTCCACTCATTACACATAGTCTCCTCCTCGTCTTGGTCCCGGAAGCGTTTGGCAATGTACCGAACTTCATCCAAGATTTTGGACAATTCACTTTCTCGAGGGCCGCTACTAACGGAAGACGCCTGAACCCCAGGGAGCAGCACATCCTCCTCACCTGTGGCGACGAGCCGGCTGCAGATCACCCCCGAATCGGGTGAAGTGGCATAGTGAATAGCGTCCATTCCACGGAAGCCGATGTACAGCAGGTTTCCATTGGTGGACTGCGCGGCTCCGGTGCTGATGTTCAGATCCACACTGGAGAGGCTGCTGCGCGGCTGCTTATTGTGACACGCCGAGCGAACTCTGTCCTCGCCAGGCCTCTTCATCCTCAGGAACCATGCACACCAGTTCAACAGCACAACACGGGTCTGACAGAAAAATTAGCTATTAAATACCACTGTTGTCCAAACACAAACATGGAATTAACCATAATACATCTAAATTAAGCCAGGTGGGTTTATATGGTAAGCAGAAATAAAAGCAGCCATGAGAGCCTCACCCATTTTGGCATTTTTCCTCCATCCGGATCATGGTAGTGGTATTGTAATACCCAGACTGTGGCTATCACAGACAGGCCAACAATAACCATGGTGGTGGCAAAATACTGAGCTAATCAAAGGATAGAGAGAATTACATTTAACAACCTAGAGAAAATCCTACTAAAAACAAATAACTAAAACTTGTTTCAGACACAGATTAAAT